CAGCTCCATGTCCAACATCAACAGACAAGTATCCAGCCACAATACATGAAACACAAACAAAAAACATTTAACGTAACAGCACACTCAGTGAGAGAAAACAAACCTAACTCCACAAATGTCAAAAAACACATCATTTTTCTGGAACAGATTACAAATTGCCTGAAAATGGCACAAACAAGTGGCAACATGTGTGATGAAGGTGTTGCGCTGGGCTATATCAAGCAATCGAAAGTGGAACTTAACCTTGCTCCATTGCGGAGATATTCCCACGAGAGTGCGGAAAACTTAAATCTATATATTTATTTCAATTAAGAAATGTTACCAATATACTCACGGACCACTAGGGGGCGCTCACGGACCACACTTTGAGAAGCACTGCTCTATAGAGATATACCGAGTCAGAAATAGCAGAGGTGACACACAATCGATTTAAACCCTGCTGCTTAAAAGTCGTATCGGAGAGGACTAGTGAAATGCATGTTTTGACACTTATATCCAGGATAAGGTTTTTTTTGTCTCCTAGCTGCTTTGCTTATGTCGGGTTTTTTTTTTTTTTAAAAAGCTCCGGAAAACATCATAGTAAACACAACTAAAGCTTCTTGAGCACAACAAAGGAAGCCCCGTGGCACTGCTCCAATCACCAGGAAATGTTTTTGCATAACAATGTGTAATAACGGCTTCAACCCGGCAGAACATCGGCTCTCGATCGTCAAGAAACTTCTTTACCCGCTTTTCATCGTGTCCTCGAATGAGCGAAAACTCAGAATAAAAAATAATAATTCAACTTCTTTGTTTGATCTAAAGGTAACTAGCTTTTATTCTTACTGCCATTAAGGTGAGTTAATTCTTTTTCTGAATGAGTAAGAGGATAGAAAGGTTATATTGAATTCAAATCTAAATGTATTAAAGCCCCAAATCACAAGAAATGCCTCAAAAGGGCAAAGCAAACAAAAAGCAAAGACAAAAACAAAATACAAACGTCATAGCATAACAATTATAAAAACATTATACAACATTATACATTAGGGCTGAACGATATACCGTGTCATGGCGATAACCGCGATATGCGCATGCGCGATATTCACATCGCAAGGACGTGCGATTTTATACATTTTTTATAATAATTTTTTTTCTTTCATTTTTAGGACGTACGATATTAAGTAGGTAAATGAACTCAAACACGTCATGTTACAATTATTTTGCTGCTTGCTACAAAAGGAAAACGTGCGCGGCTCTCATGTCAGGGGCACTTGAGTGGAGGCTCTGAGTCTGCATGCACAGCAAACAACTATTCCAGATGCCTTTGCCGGTGTTACTCCATATGAGAAAGGTTCAAAACGGCATAAAGGAACTGGTGTATAGCTGTTCTTAATTTTATTTTTATAATGTTGTTTAAAAGATGTCCACTACTTTGCTGCTATTTGCACAAAAAAGCTTTTAATTGTGGAATAAAAAGTTAAATTACCTATTTGGTCACGTGTGGTATCGTGCAGCCCTAATATACATCAACATAAGTATTGCCATGTGATAAAAGCATGTGACAGAAGTGATGGTAATGTAGATGGAAACTAGTTTACAAGGCAGACAGATGCAAAGAGATGGGTTTTGAGTTTGCTTTTAAAGGAGTAACGGAAATAGCTTTGCGGATCTGAATTGTATTTTAGAAAGGGATTTTACGAGACAATAGTGTGTTTATAAAGTAAGGTTATCTTGGTCCATGTTTTACTTTCCAGCAGCTCCACGGATACCAACATGTCGCTGACCTTTAGTTGCTGAAACTCCATCCCATTATCACCTTCCCACAGTTTGGCACGTACGAGTTTCAGCGTTTCGCACCCGCGCTCTCACGTCTAATCAACGGTTCTCTCTGCCAGATCTCATGCACACACACTATGTATTACCCACCAGCACAACAACAGCCCAGATGTTCCAGTGCAGGGTTTTAAATACCCCATTAACCCTGTGAGGTGCAATTTAATGCAGAGCGGCTTTAACTCGGACCCCGACTGGGCGAACTTGAGGACAGAAGAGGACAGCTGCCTCCTTTATTTCTCAGCTAATGATGTGCAGTGGGAGGCGATGAGACACAGACGTCTGCCACAGAGGGACAATGGATTCACTCAGACGACATGAAGCCACATCTTTACCATGTTTTAGTTTCTCCATGGAGAGTATGCCTTACCTTCAGGGGTCTGACATTCACAAAACTGTCAAAATCAACCCACAAACATTATGCATTGCATTAATGCACACTATTCTTGTTCTTATTTATTTCATTTAAGAATTGCCAGCTCTACAAAAGCTATCAACTTTCCATAACCATACCACATACATAGTACTTTTACTGCACATCATTTCTTGGTCTATCCAGATTTAATTTAATACTTTTCTAGATCTTAACTTATAAAAGATTTTTATAATTGTTTGTTTTTAATTTTTTGGTAAATAATGTTTATTTTTGCCCATTGGAAATTATTGTAAACGCAGGCTGAACGTTATCAGCCACCTAATCAGAGTATCAAAAATATATGTTAATGTAATCTGATTACTTTATGTAACTTTTAGACTACTTCAACATCAAATGCAAGCATCTAAATGTAAAGAAATAACAATAAGATGTTTTTACTTAAGTGTATTATGTAAGACAACAGAACAATGTGACCTTCGAAAAGAAGAAATCAAGATATTTAGGATTTAAAATGATTGTATTGATAGGAACACCTGCCTTTCATGAAGCATATTCAGCTTATACACCAACAATGAAACACTTGAGCACATACTACAGTTAAAAAAGCAGAAATAAAATCTGAGCTGACAGGAAATGCTCCATTTTAGTTTAATACACACAGTTAAGCTCACACACACTATTTGATGAACATATAGGTTCACCTGCTGAAGTAAAACAGAACACATGAACAAAAGAAAGTGGAAACCATAAAGCAGATTCAGGCAGATTAAAAAAAAAGCCTTAAAAAGCCACATTTCCCCAAGTGTTTAAGATGCATACAATCTAGANAGTCACGGGATATCGTTTCTTTAGTTTCTTTTTTGTCTTAAAGTTCTCGGGATCTCAACCGGCACTAGAATAGTCCAAAGCATGAGCCGCAGATCGAGGTTTTATTACACACACGCACACTCTCAGGCGACGGTAACATGCTGGTAAGCGGCTTTGCAGTCTCGGTGTGGTAGTTAGTCATTTGATTCCACGAAAAGAAAGAAAAAAAAAGGCGTTTGGCGTGTGATGCTCTCCGTGACTGCGTCAGGCTCTTGAGTTTGAGATGGGCAGGTGCCTCTCCGTACTTGCGGAGGAACTTGCGGTTGTGGGTCACGGCCCACAGTGCAGGGGTGGAGGGTGTCCGGCGCGATGGCCTCATGGAGGGAGTGTGCCTCAGCGGCCGCTCGCAGCTCCATGGAGGCCCTGTGAACCACCGATCAGCTGACCCCCCATCCTTCAGGACCGTGAGCACCGTACGCTGCTGCTGTTGAATGATCCTTCAGAGGGGAGAGGGAGTTAAACTGCAAGGGTCTTTTAAGTATACATGTAATGTAGAGCGCAGCAACCACTCATTTGTAATCTGGATGAAATCCATGTCGATGAATTGAAACGATTATCGACTATTCGGACTATTTGTAATGCCTAGCACGAATTTCTCAACCGCTGTTGATTAGCAACTTTTAGATTTACTAACAATGAAAGACATTAAAATGATACTATCAAAATGCATATATATAATTAACTAAATAATTGGAAAAAATTGAACATTTGCTTTTATTATTAATTACAATACATAATTTTCACAGCAAAAGAAACAAAATAATCTATGAAGAATAGTGACTTTAACAAACTAATAACTCGACTCTAATCATTCCCATGTTTGTATTAATGTAGTTACACTCTGTGTGTTAGCTGCTAGCATAATAACCCTGAGCGGGAAACGTTACCCGTGGATGGGGCTACAGAGCTGCTAGAAAGACAGTGGAACCCGGTGCATTCCTCCGTCTGGATGTGGAGCACTTTTACTAAATGTTTAGACAAATTGCTCGTGTTACCGCCCTTACATGCTAAACTGTTATTGAACTTTTGGTAACGAGCATCGAGACGGGTAAAGTTTAACCACACCTCGGAGCGCGTTCTCTCCGCCATCTCCGCAGTGTGTTGCTGCATGTGACATGATCTCGTCTGATCGAAAATACATCATAGACGCATTTGTTTGTCTTTTTGCATATTAGAAACGAGTTGGCGACACCAAGACTGCGATATAATGTTTTTGTAGCAATAATACATATGACATATATTTTTTAAATGTCTCCATTACCGATAAAAAGACCAATAACGTTGGAGCTTAACGGCGCGTAAAACACACGTGATGACGTCACCAACGAATCGACGACTGAATTAGTTGGCAACTAATTTGGTAATCGATTTTAATCGATTAAGTCGATTAGTTGTTGTACCCCGACGTAGCATCATTTAAAATTCTTGGACCTGCGCACTACAGTCTGCATGAAACTAGTATAGGGTGTAAACAATACATATAACTCTGTAAAAACGGTATAATTATTACTCTTGATTATTACATTCATTTAAAGTCCCCTATTATATTGTATTTTAACAATATATTATATTATAGGTCTCAGATATATACAGAACATGTCTCTGAAGTGTTTGGCTGAAACACCAAACAGATCATTGCAGCATCCCATAATCCCCTCTGTTTCAGCCCTGTTCCTAAAGTGCCGATTCTCTGTCTGTAGCTTTAAATGCTAATGAGCTGCTGCTGGCCCCGCCCCTCTGAGATGTGATTTGTGGCTGGCTTATTTTCAGGTTTTTATATAGATGGATCAGGACAAAAAGAGGCGGGGTCTTTGTTCCTGAAACTCTCTGTATAAAAGGCATGAAAAAGTAGATTTAGCATAAAAGGTGACCTTTAAATTCAATTCAAAGCATATACAACTTTCTTGCCAACATAGACATTTACCCTAAATAATAATACGCCTAAATGGCTCTTACAAAGGGTATCATACAAGTGCAGCTGAATCTCTTAACAATGAAAATAAATGTGTATGATATAACTTGATGACAAAGGTTTGTGAAGCTAATGCAGTACCGCTGAATGTGGTTGGGCTTATAGACAGGAAATGTACCTGCAGGATTCTTGCTTTTCACTTTGTTTCAACTTCAAGTTCATGTACTAACTTTACGTCCTCCTGCTGCAGATGAGACCCACCTGCCTGCAGACATCCCCAGCTACCTGTCCTCTCAGGGCACGCTGGCGGAGCGGCAGGACGGCTACATCCCCTCGGAGAGCGGCAGCAGTGATCAGTACATGTCTTCATCTCTGAGCGGATTCTACCTGCAGCCCAAAGACATGAACGGTAAAACACCTGCTCATCCTGCTTTCTTCTCAAATGTAGTTCCTGCTCTGTTTTTCCTACATGACACTGTTCCTTCACTCGTACAGGATTTTGTCAGTTGGACACAGGAAGTGAAACAGACATGGAGGCAGCCATTGATCCTCTTCTCTGCCATTATCAAGGACCAATCAGCTCACTGCTTCGGCGAGACAACATGTACTCCACTGAGCCGTCAGACGTCTTCACAGGTGTGGACACATCCTCTGTCAAATAGAAACTGTCCTCTTGATCACTATCCTAAACCTTACTGTTTGTAGTAAGTGTTCCTAAAGTACAGCCTCTATAATCTGTCTTCCTCCCTTTCTCCCCCTCCCTCCCCCTCTCCCCCCGCCAGGCTGCTCCATGGACCAGAGGCCCGTCTACGTGGACTCCTACAGCGGCAGCCTGAGCAGCTCTAAAATGAAGGACTACTTCCTGTCTGAGCACTTTGACCTCTGCTCCTCCTCGGTCCTGATGCAGCTCCCCAACGCCAGCCTCCATCTGGGCCCCCCCCACCAGCAGACTGACCGCCGCACCTCCATGGAGGAGGCGGAGGCCAACATGTACGGGAAACCTCACGAGGGTCTCTCCCCCTCCAGCACCTTCATGGGTACGCCTTCAGATAATCATTCCCCAACTGTCTGGATTGTGTCTGCACATTGTTCTGACTTCTTCTCTCTCACTCAGGAACGTTTGGGAAGGCCCCCTGGACCCCCCACAAGGACCTGTACCCAGGCTTTGGCCCGCACTCGGTGACGCATCACGGAATAACTCTACACGAAAATCCTTACGCCGCTCCAGATGCAGATTCAGACCTGGAGGAGAGTCTCACCAAGGACTCTGTGTCAGAGCAGAGCAACAGCATCTATGAACAGCCGTTTGACCTCCTGAGGACGGACCCCCCCCCGCAGCGCAGGCCCAGCACCTAGCTGAGCTGGGTTTAAGGACCAAAAAGAGAAACCTCTACCTCACTGAACGGACACTTTGCAATAAAGGACTCCTCAAATGTGCAACGAGTGAATGTAACAGACAATGTGATGTTCCAGAGAAAGAAAAGGGAGCATGTTAGCAGCTTCAGTTAAAGAATATAGATGAATATATGCATTTTTTTATATAAAGTTTATTCTATTTTGTAAATTGTATATAAACAGAGTATTTTTGCTTACCTTTTGAGTATTTTGCAGCCCTGCCTGTTCAGTTATTCCAGCTTTGAATGAAACCATGTTTTGCACACGTGTAAACAATAAAGCAGCGCTGCCTTCAGAGCCGACTCCTCACTGACACCCCCCCCCATCTGACGGAGAGAGCTCAGAGCACGGGGTTCTGCTGCTGGGTGTTAACGCTGGCCTTGGAGACAGAACCACAGACCGCCAACGACGCCTCGCTCTGTCATCAGTCAGCCCCCACACAGAGGCAGAGAGCATGATGGGTATCACACTCTGGGTCCATGTAGGGCTGGGTAGTATTTACAAATGATAGTTTATTCCACTCTCAGCTGATCACGTGCCACAAATGTTTTCAAACTAAAGATATCAGGCCAGCTGAAGACTCTATTTCCCATATTGTGATTTAAACAGCGGTGGATTGTAACAAGGTACATTTACTCAAGCACAATACTTCAGAACAATGTTTAAGTACTTGTACTTAATACCTGAGTATTCTCCGTTTATGCTACTTTTGACTTCTACTTTACTACAGTTTGGAAGCCAATGTTGTACTTTTTATCTTTGTTAATACATTTATCTGACAGCTTTTAGTTACTAGTGACTTTTTAAAGATTTATATCATTAGCTAATACAAAATATAAATGTATTATTAAGTAAATGTTGATATTTATTTGTAGTTTAAGAAATCCAGAAGGAGTTGCGATAAAAACACATCAATAATCTTAATAGTAACCCAGAAACTCAATATATAGACGATTCTGAAATGGGCCATTGTGCACAAGGTCTACTTTTACTTTAATGCTGCTACTTTCATACTTTTACTGGAGTAAGATTTTGAACATAGGACTTTTACTTATTAAATGTAGTATTGTTACTTTTACTTAAGTAAAAAAATCTGAGTTCAAAGGTGTTGACCATAAGGCCAGCCAGTACTAAATCTAGGACTACGAGTTCTACTATCCCTTACTTACACTACTGTCACTAATACTGGTACTAATACTTCTAATATATACATCTGCTGTTAATACTGGAAGTAGTTATCACTGCTAGCAACAACTATTAGCTCTTCAGATGAAGGAAGAAGTCCTTTTCACAAAGCTACAAACAGAAGATATCAGTACTACTTAATAAAAGAGCGTATCGTCTGTATCCTGGTTATTTAAAAATCTCAGATTCACCACCATGGTGTTTTAATAATGATGCCCATGAGTAAATAATACTTAATATAATTATATACAATCCATGTTAAACCCACAAATTGATTTGAGAACAGTATGGCACAATATAGCTAAACTCCCCCTGTTTGCTGTGTGACTCACCCCTCTCTCTCACCCCCCCAGCCCTCCTCGCCTGGCGGTTTGTTGTTTCAGGCCTCCCCTCTCCAGCATGAGGGAAGAAGGTGTGCTTGTGCGCCGGGCTAGCTGTTGAAACTTGCACTTGGAAGGCTTCTTTGGCTCTCTGTCTGCCTCGGTGGAGTTGTGTTTACCGAGCGTTAGATACACCATGGGGGTGCCAGCAGTTCACTGGAGAATTATGCACCCCCCCCTATTCAAGGGCAGTCGTCTCTGTCCAGCATTTAATCCGGCAGCGTGAAAAGAAACCAGTTGAAAATAAATTAAACATACTTTGTGTTATAATGGTACGCACTAAGGTCTGTGTTTGGACTCTCTTCCAGTGTGTGTATGGAAACGCTGATGAGGAGATTTGCTTTCATAGACCATGTTACTTTGTCCCATCCTTCTGGCTGACTAATGTTAAAGTACACCTGGCTGTCGGCTCTGCTGCGCTGTTGCGAAGCCTTTACCCCACTGTAAAGGAATGAGGGCTTTGTTGGAAGTGTTGCCAGTTCTTTGAGGAGGCTGCGATTAAGACAAGATGGTCCATAAACCTGGAGAACAGCTGCTGCTGAGGCTGCTGATGCTGCATTCAAGGACCAGTCTGCCTCACCTCATCTCAGGACCCAGTTGTGTCTGCCTAGAGCACAAATCATGTGTGCTCCCCCCCCGACCCTGCAGGCCTGAAGATTACTGATAAACTCAGCGGCTTGTGATTGCCTTCTTGTTGAGCACATTGTGGTGATATGTATAGGACTGGCACATTGTGTTGTTTGGAAGTGCATTTTCAAAGCTTTGTGTGGGCAAAATGATGCATGATGATGAGTTATTGATGCATGTAAGATGTGTATAAAACAGATGTCAGATCAGAACAGAAAAGTATACTTCTGTAGTTGTGCCGATTGGGGGATTCCCAATCTCTGTGCTGGAGCAGTGGGGGGGGGAAGTCCAGCTCTGGTGCTTTAGCATCGCTGTGAAGCACCTTTTGGTCAGGAACTTAGCAATCCATGGTGCATTTATTATTATTATTATTCGTGTTCCTGCGGATTGGCTTCCGTGCGACATGAAGCAGGAAGCAGGAGGTCGGAACATGCTTCAGATATGTCCAGTTAGTGTTCAAACCAGCAGTAGCTGATTTCTTTGACACTTGAGGTGGACCGCGATAAACTACAAAGTCTGGTGGGCAAGTAAGGCAAGTTGAGGGAAGACATATGTTTTATACAAAATGTCTCCTTGACTGTGTTGAAAAACTCAGGTTTGTGATCTGAGACGAACCCTTCCTTGAGCTGCCTTGCTCAAGGTCACTTGAATGCAACAGTGGGAAAAGGTTTCTTCCCTGTTCAGAGTTCAGCAGCTTGTGGGGTTGATTCAGATGCTCTTCTTAACAATTGTTGTTTCCCTTTTTGTAGACAAGGCTTTACCATTCTCAATTAAGTGGGTGAATGTGAATCCCCTCAGAAGGGTTTATTTACTCCTTAGGGAAAGTCTCTGAAATTGCTACAACCCAAAAATAATTTGTGGCCTTAAAAGGGACAGAGGCGTTGAAGTTTTAAAAGGCGCTGGGGATCTATGAGTCTCCTGTGGAGCCTTCAAATTTCCAGCCAGAGTGAAAAGAAAAGAGGCCAGATTGCAGAATAATTTCCCCTCTTTGATTCTGCGTCCAGAGAAATGAGACAGGAAGTTGACGATTCTTCCAGACCACCAATGAATGGCAGACGGCTAATGGAGCCTGCTACCCCCTGGTCTCAGATCAGCCTCTAATCTCAATGTTCTTACCCTGGTGTGTTCCCGTCAAGAAACACTGACCTGGGGTCAGCTCCTCAGGCCCTCTCTAATCCAAACCCCAGAGAAAATGACTTCAGCATGCCACGCTCTTATCTCTCTGCCAGACACTGTGAATTGTGGAGCTAATTTGCCTTCATTATTGCCAGATGTGCTGACAAGCAGACAGATGTTTATTATATTAAATAGCGATAGGCAGCTTGCAAAAAGATTATTCCTCTGTTATGAAGCTCGGGAATTCTGCTGAAGGATGTCTGACTTTTATGACCACTGAGCTACAGCAGATATGCTGAGTCAGTGCTAAAATACAGATTTAAAAATAATGCAACCCGTGTACTCCCGGTATAATGGTGGAGTGAGCGGGCGCGAGTTAACCAGCTCTCCCAGGTCGGTTCATTGAAACCCACAAAATCCAACTACTCCGCACACGAGGAAGAGCTAACAGAGACACTGAAGCTACAGGATAGCACAGACATGCTATCAAAGAGCTCAAGCAGGAGCTACGACACCGGCTATCCACGTTTAAAGAAGAACTGACAGAGATGAAAGAAGAAATCTGTATTCTCCGAAAAGAAATATACCATAAACTCACGCAGAATAACAACGAAGTACAGACACTAAAATCAGACATTAGTGAAGCCCGGTCACACATAGAGGAGTTAGAGGAGTGTCAGTTGGTGGCAAATACAAATGTGGCGACATTTGGGTCACACTTTGCATCTGACTTCCCAACTGTTTACAGAAATCGTGTTGTGTTGTGTTGGTTTAGACTTCGGACAAATCATTCGCAGATTATATTTGAAGCTTGGTGAGAACATTTAGACCATCATAGAAAAATATTTTTGCTTGGTGCAAACACCAGATGAAGCCTACTTCAGCTGGGCTGTAAGATCCCACGGTCATATAACATGAGCTGCCATCAGCGTGATTCCAGCACGGACTCCATAAAGCCCATCAGAACATCTCCTTTCAATCTCTTCAGCCAGGGCTCTTTGAATGATTAAAAGCATATACAAGGGCTTAGCATCTTGCAGATGTTGCCATAAATCACCGGCTGGCCCTGCCTCTGCAACTGGCTGCCTGACAAATGTTCCACAATAACTGGGGCCCCCACCGCACCCTTCCAGTAAAAGAGAAAAAAAAGAAAAGGGTGTAAAATGGAAAGAAAAAAGCCTGGAATGTGTTCTTGTAACTCTTTCAGGACCATTGTAAAGTCTCAGCCATGTCAGCACAGGTGGAAACCTGAGGGCTCGTAAAGCGGAGACAAAGCCCGCCCACTGCAGCTCTCTCTGTTTGAACCTCCCTGCTGCCCACCCCTCCACTGTGACTAACTCCACACACATCTAAAGAGCTAAAGCAGTCAGACTGCTGGTGTGTCTGTGAGCAGCAGTAACCAACGATGATGTAATAAGCTTATTCACTGTCTTCTTTTGAAAGATGAGATATGATATGGCGACCATCAACAGCTTGCTGTATACACATTCAGGAGATAGAGCAACATTACTATTCATTTCAGAATTGTGTACAAAGTGGACATTCCCTCCCCCTGTAGCTGTGGGTTAGTTTCCACATGGCACCCAGAACATGTTGGTGCTGTAGTGGGCTTTTTGGAAGGGCAATGTTGTTGTCAGCAGTGACATCAAGCCTGTCACACTGCCCAGTAAAAAAAACATGTGCACGGCTCAGACAAGGAGGGGAATGAAAGTGGTCTGACATGTACATCAAAGATGACACCTCAAAAACAACATGGACATGCCCAGGTGAGCATGATCAAGTTGACTTGGACCCCCAGCGTATCAATTGAATTCAACCAAGGTTCTGGCTATCAGGGACAACGATGAAGTGGGCAGGTTCTGAATACATGACCTGACACTTCAATCTGTGTCCATCTCTACCGCTGATTACATCCAACTGATCCTTAACTGCTGAATATCACCACGTTTTATAAAAACCAACCAGACATGTTTCAAATAATGAAACTCA